AGGGGTAAAAATTCGTGATTGGGAATCTTTTAGGGTACCAATTTTGAGTTTCTGGAAATTTGAAAGAGCGCATTGATATTTCCTCTGCGTATTGTTTTGTCTTAGATATCTTATATATTTTATAATTGGAACTGATTTAAGTTAACAAGATTATATTTGTTGTGCAATCTTTTAGGGGTTAAAAATCAGTCAGCCACGCCTTTTTTCAAGACTTCCGTGATCTTTTAGGGGTCTTTTTGAAAATTTCCGACGAGCATTCCCGGTACTGAACCCAAGCATTTTCATATTTGCGTTTTATGATATCCAATTTATCTAGTCATTGAATAATACTGTATAAAAATTTAAAATAGACCTCGAGTAGAGTAGCCAATCAGAACGAAAGATTTGCAATAGTCCACTAGTATGGTAATACTAATATTGATTAGACAATATAAGACACCAAGGAATTAAGTAATGGTCCGAGTAAGATCCATCTTATTGGTGAAAACATTAAAATCTGCCATAATTTTACCAGTTGACTCATTTTTAACTCGAAGATTGCGAAGTAATCGAAGTGTTATTGGAGGGGGAGAGTCTCTCACTCACTCAATCACTCAGTCACTCACTTTCGTGTAAACTTGAGCCTGCGGTACTTCAGGACTATTCAGAACTATTAATTTATTCTCATTGTTTTCTAGTAGAGTGCACGTCACATAAGCATGAAACAATTCTTAATATGCATTGCTAAATAAGATTTAGTTATCAACTAACTAAGAATTCAACAAAGCATAAACACAATGCCAATTATTTAAATTCCTTTGTAGCATTGTACTCAATTCTTAGTTAGTTGATAACTAAATCTTATTTAGCACTACATAGTTAAGAATTGTTTCATGCTTATGTGACTTGCACTCTAATTTACTCATTAATTTGCCGTTACCGGTTTCCCTGTTCTACATTTGATTATTTATTCATTTATTTTTTGGCAAAGACAGAAATCTAAAGAAATGTCATCTCCTCTGAGTCTCGAACCTCAGACCTCTGATTTAGAAATCGAAAGCACTTCCATTCGGCCACGCGTACCAATGTTACATAATTGTGGTTAGACTTGTCTTTTAACTGTAGGTGCTCGGTCCTGGTTGTCAAAAATCAAAGTTAAAAATAATTAGATTGTAACGAAAAAGAAAACTGTATTCATAAATCATGTAAAATTCTATTTGAAAAGTAATTATAATTTGATTCGACATACCGTTAAGTCACAAAGGTCGAAGCAAGCAAAGAAGACTGGACGATCCTCCAATTCCGTTTCGAAAATGATTGTACGAAGGTGCTGGCCTGTGCTTATCGAGAACCCAAGTTAATATTAAAATGAAACAATGGAAGACTCTGTCGTAGAATTTTCCAGCTCTGCGCAGCAAGGAGACTGTAGTCTTTCTTGTACTCCTTTATACATCGACGTCCAAACACTTCTGAATTAAATTTAAAACATGTGCTTAAAGAATATGAATACATCTGCAACACATCTGTTGTCTATAGATACTTATGCAAAATTTCTTTGCGTACTCACTTTGACAGTTTCTTTGTTATCTAG